TGGCAAAGAGGACCTGCTTCTTCCCGACGGTGAATCCCACACCATCCGGGCGCCTACCTTCGTGTCTGAACTGGATATACGCAAATTGCTTGGAAGGGTGCAGAAACGCATCCATCAACATTAGGCCCCCATGTCTCGCTCTATCTTGGCTGTCACTATAGTTCCGCTCCATGCGGTAGAGCCTTCCGCTAAAGTCATGCTTGCACGATGCCATATAGTCATGTAGCAAGCTTTCCGGTAGGCGGTTCGTGGTGCTCAACGTCTTGAAGCTGCCGACACTTGTCACGGCAACAGAAGACGAGCCGCTTGTGCTCATGAACATGCTCGCAGCGCTCGTGCTGACCGCACCCATCGCCTCACTCGTCGCAGTACCTTAACAGTGGAGTTCTGAGGACTGAAAAAACCCATCTCCTTCTTTAAAAAGAGCCTATACACACCCACCAAGAACTCAGTCCATCAACTCAACCACTAAGTTACTGGCACCACCTGGCGATGGATCCGAAATGCAATCTTCAACATGGGTTTGACCACGTTTCACACATGCATAGTCTTGGCATGTCCACAGCGCAAAGTAATAATGCTGCGGCGTAGATGACAGTAAAACCAGCCCAAAGCCAGCAAATGCCATGAGACCGGCACTTGGAGGGGCTTGGCACATGGCAGGTACTCAGGTTTACCTACATCGAATCACCAAGTTACCTACTAAGGGAGGTGTACCTATGTTTTAGGGCCATAGTTTCAGGGCTTTATTACGGCTTGAGCAGACTTTGCTGGAAGCACGGATACCGGGCTGGGAGGGTTCCTTCGACTCCCCTCTGAGGGCTAACCTGAACCCTAAATCCTAAACCAGAAACACTCCATCATATGTCTTTAGACCTTAATTCATTCATTGAATATTGTTTTTTTTTAAAAAAAAACTTTGGCCAAGCTCAACGGAGAAAACAACACCATGTTCAACGAAGGCCGGCCCGGGACGGCCCATTCGTTGAATTTGTAGGACCAGGGATTTGGGGCAGGGTTTAGAGGTTTAGGGTTTATAAGGGATTAGGGTTAAGGGTTATAGGGGTTCAGGGTTTAGGGGTTCAGGGGTTGAGGGTTGAGGGTTTAGGATTTCAGCCTTAAGGTTTAATAAAACGTAAACTGTTTTCCTAATGATATGGGAATCTTTTGTGGGTGGGATGATGTTTTGCGTAGTTGAGCTCGACTAGAAACTGCTAGATCCGGAGCTGCTGAACC